CCTGTGTGTATACACACATGCAGAGACGCACGTGCACACACACCTGCCTGTGTGCATATACACACGCACAGACGCACGTGCACACAACCCCACCTATGTGCATATAAACACACGCAGAGACGTACACGCACACGCACACGCCTGTGTGCATATACACACGTGCAGAGACATATGTGCACACACACCTGCCTGTGTGCATATACACACGTGCAGAGACACATGTGCACACACACCCGCCTGTGTGCATATACACACGTGCAGAGGCGCATGTGCACACACACCTGCCTGTGTGTATACACACACGCAGAGACAAACGTGCACACACAGTCGCCTGTGTGCATATACACACGCAGAGACGCACGTGCACACAACCCCGTCTGTGTGCATATAAACACACGCAGAGACGTACGTGCACACACACCCGCCTGTGTGCATATACACACGCAGAGACGCATATGCACACACACTCACCTGTGTGTATATATGTACACACATGCACACTCACTGATACATGTAACAGACACATGTAGACAGACCCACCCACCCACATGCCTACCCAGGTATGCATAGGTGTGTACACACATCCATACATGCATGTACACACAGATGAGAAACATAGACTTCTACACACACTTTTTTCCTGCCTTCTCAATGACACTCATTGCAAGACATTTTTCTCCCACCAGTAATAGAATCGAACATTTTAGACCCAGTGAAACAATTTCTCTTCCTAAATGGACAAGTGTGAACTTGACCTTGACATATCAAGGCTCAAACCATGATTCTCATTTCCTGCTTTTTTAGGAAGCAGGATTGAGAGGCAGCATGGAGAGGGTGTCCTGGGGACTCTGTGTGCCTGATTCTGGTGGTATCCCGGGGGGATCCCAGGAGGTATTCCATATCTGTTATCATAGTTCATGGCAATTTATGCCTCATGCTTCTTTTTATAGCTCTTTTTCTCATTTGATTTCTATGGTCACCCATCAGTTAGCATCAGCGTGCTTTGAGGCTGGTGAGATGCCTACTCTGGGGAGAGGAGGGTGGAGGTCTGAGGTGGGACAGTGTTGATCCGAGGTCTGTCAGACTCGGAGCTGAGCCGTTTCTTGGGCCCTGCTCCCTGATTGAGCTTATGGAAGCCCTGGGGTGCCCCTTGGTGAGGGGGGAGAGTGTATCCCCTGTCCCCATACAATAGGGGATCTAGGTGGGGTGGGGATAGACAGCTATGTCCTGGCTTAGAAAATGGAGATTCTATGGCCCCCTGACTGGGGGGCCCCTTGAGCCTTGCCTCTTCCTTGGGAATCCTAGTGTCAGGAATGTTCCTGTGCTGGTGCCAGCATCCAACTGGACATGGCCCAGGACCCAGAGGACGCTGGCTGGAGGTGGTGATGGCCTCTCTAATCTCCTTTTGCAGACAGATTAGAAGAAACTGAGCTTGAGAAGCCAGAAAGACAAGGTAGGTCCTGCCTGAGTGGCTGGGGCTCCGCTGGTCACGGTGGGCCTTGGAGGTAATAGCAGGGCAGGGCTGGCAGAATTGGGTATGGCCTTCACTCTCTATGGGTTCAGGCTGGGGGTCTAGGGGAGGCTGCCTGAGGTGGGCCGATACTTCCTCTGCAGTGGCAGTGGAGGCCTTGGGGGCCACATATCTTCCAGTGACCATGCCAGCCTCTGCCTGGTTCCCCAACTGAGCTAGAGTGCTTCCTCCTCTGCTGACCCATGCATGGCTATGGGTTCCTTTCCGGTGACCTAGAAGAGTTGGCATTTGCCCTGGCTGTGACTCAGAGAGGCACGGCCACCCTGCCCACAGGGATTAGATGAATTCAGCGCCTCAGGGTGGAGAGGACATCCTTCCCTAACTCAGGTCCCTCAGAGGTCCACTCCTTCCTGGGGAGAGACCCTCCCCTTCTCCCCCCCATAGCTCTGCTCTTCCCCTACACATGGTCCACAGGAGTGAACCTGGTGGGGTGGACACCAAGGGGCCTTTGAAATTCCCTGGGGATGGGATCCCTCAAGTACAAGCTCCAAGGGTCACTCTGGGACAAGGGAGAGCCCTGAGGGGAGGGTGAGGGTGCCTTCCCAGGATGGATCCCCAAAGCTGGGAGGCTGAGATGATTCTGGAAGCCTGTCCTGGGGGGCCACTGCCTCTGTGAGAAATGGGACACAGTCAGGAGGACATTTGCTCCTAAACCATATTTAATTTTTTTCTTATTCCGAGACTTATAAAGAGTTATGAGTCTGCTAACTAACAAGGAGACTGTTTGAAAATATTTTTAAAATGTGAACTGGAGGCTCGGCGCCTATAGCTCAACCGGCTAAGGCGCCAGCCATGTACACCTAAGGTGGCGGGTTCGAATCCCCAGCCCGGACCCGCCAAACAACAATGACGGCTGCAACCAAAAAATAGCCAGGCGTTGTGGCGGGCGCCTGTGGTCCCAGCTACTTGGGAGGCGGAGGCAGGAGACTCGCTTGAGCCCAGGAGTTGGAGATTGCTGTGAGCTGTAATGCCAGGGCACTCTACCCAGGGGGACAGCTTGAGGCTCTGTCTCAAAAAAAAAAAAAAAAAAATGTGAACTGGAAACAGAAGAGTCTGTTTAAATTCTGATTCTTTCCTTTCCAATAAATCCCCTTTTAATCCCATGTTTTTCCAACAGGAAACATAGCTTGTTTGCTCACCTTCTGAGACACGGCATCCACCCAAAGCTGGCAGTTGCGCCAGCGGGCACTGTGGGCAGCCGCGTCCTTTTGTTAACACTTTAGGGACCATGGGCCTCAGATTATCAATCCTCCCAAGGTGAAGGTGGCACTCTGTGCTTGTCCCAATCTTCCTGTTGCTCCATGGTGGAGCTGCGCGGTTGGCCACAGCACTGTGCCCTTGGCTACTGTGGCACTTTGGAGCTAATGCTTATCAATGGCTCTGAGGGGCTGATTTCATGGATTTCTGCTGCTGATCAGAGGCCTAATAATATACTGACAAAGTATATTATTTGCAGTCACACATTTGCAGTCATAGCACTAAGTGTGGATGGGTCTGGTTAGGTGGCTTTGATTCTTTATAAAAGGGAAAGGGATCTCCATGTGCCTGCTGGGCTATCTCCTAAACCATGCTGTCAGAGAGGCAAAGAATGGGAAAAGGTAGGTTATTTGGTAAGCGAGCTGGCCAGACAGATCTGTTCTCCCTGTGATCATAATTACTGAGTCCCATTGTGTTATCTAGACCCTGGGCGTGGCAGGTCATGTAACTCTTAAATGCCCACCTCTAGCCTGAGAGGCCCTGCCCCCAGGGAACCAGGACCCACGTCCAGGCTCTCATCCATCTGTCTGGGTGTTTTGTCTGACTTGCAGAAATGCCTCCACCTTGCCTGGACCCAGACCCACATGAGACTCTGCAAAAGGTGAAGAATGTTCTAGGACAATGCAAGACCTGCCCAAGCTGCCCTGAGGAGCTAGTGTCCTGGGGTCTCCATGTGGCATCCAGTGAAGTGAGTTCACTGGACACCAAGGAACCATCTTTCCACCTGGACACCGAGGATGACTGGACCAACACCGAGGCCCTGGGCCCACTGCTGCAGGCCCTGAACGCCCCCGGTTACCAGGCCTGCTTCCGTGGCCTGTATGACGCCACACTGTCATGGCTTAGTAGTGTGTTCTCCAGCTTCACCGACGAGGAAGAGCTGGCTGGGTGCCTGGCACAGGCCCGGGGGGCAGCCAAGAAAGCCGGCTTGCCTATGGCCCTGGCAAGACTCTGCTTCCTTTTGGGCCGGCTGTGCGCCAGAAGGCTCAAGCTGTCCCAGGCCCGGGTGTACTTCGAGGAAGCCCTGGGAGCTTTGGGGGGAAACTTCAGGGACCTCTCCCTGGTGGTGGCCGTGTATGCCAATCTGGCCACCATTTACCTAAAGCAGAAGAACAGGGAGAAGTGTGCGCAGGCGATGCCCAAAGCTGCAGCCCTGCTCCTGGGGACACCCGGCCACATCTGTGGCTCCGAGGCAGAGGCTGAGCTCCTGAGGTACGCGCTGCGGCGGGCTGTGGGTGGCCAGAGTCTCCAGGCCGAGGCTCGGGCCTGCTTCCTGCTGGCCAGGCACCACATCCACCTCAAGCAGCCCGAGGAGGCCCTGCCCTTCCTGGAGAGGCTGCTGCTTCTGCATAGGGACCTGGGGACCCAGGAAGCCTTGTGGCCCTCAGACTGTTACCTGCTCCTGGCAGACATCTATAGCCGGAAGTGCCTGCCCCACCTGGCCCTTAGCTGTATCAAGGTGGCCTCACTGCAGACACGGGGCTCCCTGGCCAGCTCACTGAGGAGCGTGGACCTGGTGCTCTGGAATGCTCCCCGGCTCCACAGCCAGAGGCAGGCAGCCCACAGTCTCCCCTCCCAGACTGCCCACTACCTCAGGCAGGCGTTGGCGTCCCCATCCTTGAGCACAGTGTGTGCCCTGCGTGGCCCCCTCTACGCCAGCCTGGCCCAGTTGCACAGCTACCACGGGCAGCACAGGCCAGCCATCACCTTTATGATGCAGGCGGTGGAAGCTGATGCTGTGGCTGGAGTCCACCTTGCTGTGGACCACCTGGTGGCCCTCGCTTGGCTGTATGTGCTTTATGGGCAGAGCCAAGTGGCCCTGGACATCCTAGAGTCCATCCTGGATGCAGAAGTGGCCAGTGAGGGCCAGGAAGGTGTGATCACCAACATGGCAGCCGTGGCCTTGAGGAGGACAGGCAGGACCCGGCAGGCAGCTGAGGGCTACTACCGTGCCCTGCACCTGGCCAGGGGCCTGGGCCAGCTACAGAACCAGGCAGTGGTGCTGGCCAACTTTGGGGCGCTGTGTCTGCACGTGAGGGCCAGTAGGCTTGCCCAGCACTACCTCCTAGAGGCTGCCCAGCTCTTCTCACGGCTGCCCAGCAGGGAGTGTGGCCGGGACTTCACCCAGGTGCTCCTGCAGCTGGGCCACCTCTGTACTCGCCAGGCCCTTCCCCAGCAGGGCAAGTGCTACTACGAGTGGGCCTTCCTGGTCGCTGTGGACACGGACCACCTGGAGAGTAGGTGCTACTCAGTTCCCTCCTCTATCCCTCCCTGGGTTCTATGTCAGGGCTCACCCGGGGCTTGTGACTCAGAGCTGAGCAGTGGTTTCTCCTCCATGGTGGATGCTGAGTAGTGACTAACAGCAGATGTTGGCACTCCCCGAGAAAGGCTGCCCCACGCAGGACCAGCCACACACAGGGAACCAGCACATTCTTATTTGCTGGAATGGTTCTGGTTTGAGCACCGAAGGAGGTCCAGTCCACTGGGGCCTGTAGGTCACCTACACATACCCTGGCGCTATTGGCTCTCCTCATTGAGAGGAGCCCCAGGCCTTTTGTGAGCAGGGCCTTGAATTCATGTTCTCTCCTTGGGATCTCCAAAAGTCCTGCACCCTGACACATCCCCACTTCACAGGGCACATGGAGGTGGGTGGGCACCCCAGGCCACAGAGCAGTTCAAGTTCATGCAAAAACTCTTGTGCAGGAAGCATGCTAGGGTCCCCCACAAATGAGACTGGGGAGGGGTGCAAGAGTGGGAAACTGACATCCAGACCAGAAAAGCCACAGAAGTGGGTGATCGGCATGATAGCCAAGCCCCAACTTGTGGCTTAGGGATGTCTCTTTAGTCTGGGGTGGAAGGATGATGCCCAGCATGGGGTGAGAGGTGAGGGGCTGCAAAGGCCCAGGGGGAGTGAGCAGGCCATGCAGGGAGGGGCAGAGCTGGGAGTGGGGTCAGGGGCTGGATGGGGATAACCTCAGTTGGTTCAGGAGTCTCTGAGGGCACTGGGGAGCCACTGAGTGCTACAGTGCCATCACCCTGGCTGTGTGTAGTGAATGGATAACAGTCTAGGCCACCAGGGACAGAAGGAGGAAGGGGTTGAGGGGTTGGGAGTTTGAACCCCCCTGCCCTGTGGCACTTTGTCCGTCCTCCCAGGATGGCTAAGTAAGACTACTCAGAGATGACACCTGTCACCTGGCTCCAAGTCCCCGGGGATGCACCAAAGCTTCCCATTCCTAAGCCAGGCCTGTCACACACTCAGGCCCTTGAAGCGACAGAGCTTTAGGAAGTGACCACATAAAGGAACCTTGGACATACTGTGTCTGCCCAAGGAGAAGAGGGAGAGTCCAAATCCAGAGCTTTTCTCCCACTAGGTGGGGCCCTGAAAGAGGGGCGGCCTCTGGATGCAAGGGGTCCGTTGGAATCTTTAGTAGGGGCCAAGTCTCACACATCCCCTGTGGCCTCGGGCTGTAATAGCACCTTCTCCTAGCAGGTCCTTCCCCAGGAGACTTGGAAATGCCAGGCAGGGGGTCCAGGGGACCACGTTGCCCTCTCTCTCATGTTGAACAACCGAGGTGACTGAGGGCTGGGCAGATACCCTAGAGCTAGCAGGTGCCTACCCAAGTCATTTCGCAGTCTCTGGCAGTTTGTGTTTTTCTAGGAATTCGCCATTTTGTCCAGGTTATGTGATTTGTTGGTATACAGCTGTTCGTGGTATTCTCTTATAAACCTGTTACTGTGAAGTGGGCAATAATGTTCCCTCTTTCAATTTTAATTTTAGTAATTACTTTCTTTTTTTGTTTTTGAGACAGAGTCTCACTATGTCACCCTCGGTAGAGTGCCTTGGCATCATAGCAACCTCCAACTCGGGTTCAAGAGATTCTCTTCCCTCAGCCTCCCAAGTAGCTGGGACTACAGGTGCCCGCCACAATGCCTGGCTATTTTGTTGTTGCTGTTGCAGTTGTCATTGTTGTTTTAGCTGGCCCAGGCCAGGTTCGAACCCACCACCCTCAGTGTACATGGCCAGTGCCCTACCCACTGAGCTACGGGCGCCACCTTAATTTTGTAATTTCTGTCTTCTCTTTTCCTGGTGCAAGCTTTGTTAATTCTGTTAATCTTTTCAGAGAACCAACTTTGGGTTTCATTGACTTTATTGTTTTTCTTTTCTCTATATCGCTATTTAATATTTCCACTCCAAGGATTATTATTTATTCCTTCTGCTTTGGGTTTTGTTGACTCTTCTTTTTCTAATCTCTGCTGGAAGTTTAGGTTTCAGATTTGACATTTTTCTTTCTTCTTTTATTGTAGGCATTTATAGTCATGAATTTTCTCTAAGCACTGCTTTAGCTGCCTCCCACAACTTTTGATTCATCTCAAAGTATTTTCTCATTTCCTTTATGATATTTTCTTTCAATCATTAGTTATTACGAGTGTGCAATATAATTTCACATATTTTCGAATTTCTCAAATTTATTTTTGTTGTTCATTTCTAGTTTCATTCCAATGTAGCTAAAGAACATAGGTGTTTCAGTCCTTTCCTGCTTACAGGGCCTTGTTTTATGGCCTGATCAGTGGGCTGCCTTGGGGAGCCTTCTATGGGCATTTGAGAAGACTGTGCTCTGCTGGCGCTGGAGGCGTGATGTGGTGTTGTTAATCTCCTGTTTTCTTGATCCTGGGAGTGATTTTGGCAGTCAAAAGCACTCTACTGCTTACAACCCCCTGGTTTTAGAAGAGGCCAGTAGCCTGTGAGTTTGGAGCCTGGCCTTGTGGAAGGAGTGTCAGCTTTGGGGTGCCAGAAGGCAGATTTGAATCCCATTTCAGTGCAGTTCTTGGACTCTCAGGGTATCCATCTGCGATGGGGGTGCTGGTGTTCTCAACCTCATCAGCTCAGTGTGAAGGCGGCCTCTGTCCTGGCCAGAGGGGCTTTGTGAAGCAGAAGCAAGTGGCCTGGTATGATGGCCAGGACCCCCAGCCCTGGGGCTTGTGAGGAGGCTGGGTATCGTCTCTTGAACACCTGCCACAGGCCCTGCATGAGGCTCTTGTTGGTGTGCCCATTATCTGTGTGCCCTCAAGCAGGACACCCTGCTATCTGGGCTCAGTTTCCCCATCTGCAGTGACCCTGCTCACAGAGAGTAGAAGAGACAGGCCTATGGCAAGGGGCCTCTGAGCCCACAAATGTCCACTGTGAGGCTGTGAGGCTGACCTCTTCCTTTTGTGTCCCACCCCGCAGGCCAGCTGCAAGCCGTCCAGTGGCTGTGCCACTTCTACAGCACCGTCATGCCCAGCGAGGCCCAGTGTGTCATCTACCATGAGTTCCAGCTCTCGCTGGCCTGCAGGGTAGCCAACAAGGTTCTGGAGGGGCAGCTCCTCGAGACCCTCAGCCAGCTCTACCTGTCTCTGGGCACTGAGCGGTGAGGGCTGCCTCCATGGCAGGGGGTTGGGAGGCACAAGGAAACTGGGCTGGGGCCCCAGCGGACCCTCTCCTCGGGCGGGCATGGGGTCATCCTGACATTGCTCAAGACCTGTGAGTCCCATCTTGGGCCTCCCTCCACGGTCAATGTCAATGTGCCCTCCCTTCCTCCCCCCAACCCCAGCACAGCTTCCTGTGTTGAATGTCTCATCCCCCAATCAGCAGTGTGTGCATTTCTGGGCCCTTGTTTGTACCACAGTGGCTTCTGTAAGCTGTCCTCTCCTGCCCAGAGTCTTCACACGCTGGCCTGGCTCTGGGCTTGGGTAGTCTGGTCCTCATCTGTGCCCTCAGACATGATCCCAGTGGCCACGTGTGCCTGGAGTCACCTTGCCCACAGAAGGCAGAGATGGTTGTCCCACTTGCTTTCCTGGGCAGGGTTTCAGGTTCTGGTGTCCCATGCATGGCCCACGCTGAGTGTCCTGACCTGGTAGGGTGATGATGGCCCCGGCCACACTGCAGTGAAACCCCCTTGATAGAGCAGGGAAGGAGCTAGACCTCCATAAGGACTCACGAGATGGCTCCCAATCTTGGCCTTGGTTTCACAGCCTGTGTGCTAGAGCCACCCTTCCCCAGACGTGATCCCCAGATTGGTAGAGCAGTGTCCCTACTGCTGGGGAGCAAGCTGGAAGTGCATGTTCTTGGGCTCCACCCCAGATCTGTCAGATCAAAAGCTCTGGGAGCTGAACATGGAAAGCCTCTGATGCATTTGCACATTTGGGAGTCACTGGCCTGGATAATCTCCGACCTAACTTGATGCTAATGACTCCTGGTGCATCTGGAGAAGACACAGGCTATGCTGGGGAGGAGGGGAGAGCAGATAGATGAAGTAGCATGCCCTCCTGGCCACATGGCTGGCAGGACACTATGTCCTTGAAGAAGATCCTTTATCTTTTCCAGGCCCTGTGTGTTTATCCCGGCCCTCTCAGCAGCCCAGCACCAGAGGGCCTGTCCTGTCCCAACATTCCAGGTCCACCTGTCACCAGAACCCCACTGGGAAGAGCCTGGGCTGGTCCCCTAAGGCTGGCCAGCCTGGGAGCTGTTATGACACTCTTGTCTGGTTCTAGGGCCTACAAATCTGCCCTGGACTATACCAAGCGGAGTCTGGGGATATTCATCGACCTCCAGGAGAAGAAGAAGGAGGCGCATGCCTGGCTGCAGGCTGGGAAGATCTACTACATCCTGCGGCAAGATGAGCTGGTCGACCTGTACATCCAGGTGCAGGGGAGGGTGCAGGGGCCACTGCTGAGTACCTGATGTATGCTGCCCCCACCTCACAGCCTATCCCAGGGCCAGCAATGTCCACAGCCATCAGAGCTCCCTGGGCAGAGGTGTGGCTCTCACGATGTCTAGCACCTGCTGGTACACAGCAAGAGCTCAGTAAATGTGCAAAGGATGACCCCACTCAGGTGGCACACAGGGTTCACTTCAGTAGCATATGGCATGTCTCCTTAAAAAAGGTGTTTACATAGATGCCCTGTTTTAGATGCTATCCCAGACAAACATTATTTGGAACAAACTGAGAGGCCACTGAGCTTTCTGTATTTGAGCACCTGCTGTGTATGTGTCCTGAGCCAGGGGCAGACCAACTGGAGTCAGGAGTTCATGGCTAGGAATGTGGGCTCCCGGTAGCCTGGGGGTGGGAGGCAGGGTGAACAGAGACTGAGTGGGGTGGGTGCCTCTGCAGGAGGGGGCTGTCCTGGCAGCAGACCCCAGGCAACAGCAAACAGTTGGGTCTGGCTGGGTCGTGGTCAGGGCCAGACCACCTGGTCATTCTCTTAGGAGGTGCCTATTGTGTGCCTACTGCATGCCAGGTGCTGTGGTAGGGCCTGCACGTGGCAGAGAAGCCTGAAGACTTGGGCCTCTTCCTTGTGGAGCTGACCCTTCTGGTGGGAGATGGGCAGACACAGCTGGGTCAGAGGTAGCTGGGGGCTCAGAGGGAAAGCAGCGGGCCTGGTGGCACCAGAGCAGAGTATGGAGGACTGAGAAGGGGGAGCATGGTGGGAGGAGCTCATGACTGAGCTCTTTCTAGCAGGTCAGCCTCTCCTGCTGGGCCCTGGGTTTAAGCCACAGGGCACACCATGGTACCCATGGTGCATATGGTTACTGTCCTTGTGTCACAAGGTTGGGAAGGCCCTTGGTGTACAGGGCTTCCTGATGTGTGTGAGGGAACAGAGGAGGCTGGCTGGGGCTTCCCACCTTAGCGTATGGCCACCCCAGCAGATGTGGGTCTTGAAAGCTTCTGCCTTCTTGCAGGTGGCGCAGAATGCAGCCTTATACACGGGTGACCCGCACCTGGGGCTAGAGCTGTTCGAGGCAGCTGGAGACATCTTCTTCAATGGGACCTGGGAGCGGGAAAAAGCCGTGTCCTTCTACCGGGTAAGCTGCTGCCCTGAGTCATGTGGGGGGTGCCATGTGGACACTGAGGGCAGAGGCACAGCTGGAGCAGGACCACACATGCACATGCTCAGTTTCCTGGTGGCTTCACCTGACATGGGCTTGACTCCAGTCCAGACGCAGTGGTAGTCTCACCCATGCACCTTGTGATCTCAAGCAATCCTGGCGGGAAATCCTGTCTACATCTTATAGGTAGGAAACTGAAGCCCACAGAGGCACAGGAACGTGTCAGTGGGAGACCCAGAATGACACCTAGGTCTGCATGTGCCCCAGAATGACACCTAGGTCTGCATGTGCCCCTAGGGAGGATGGCTTCTCCCGGGTGGCTCAGTTCCAGGCACAGATAAATGTGGCATTTCTAGACAGGGGAGAGGACTGCCATCCTTTCATTCAGTCTCCAGATAGTTTAGCCACATGGGCTGGGGGTCACTCTCCAGCCCCTAAGCTGACCCTTCTCTTGGGGAAGGGAACTGTGTCTGGGCCCAGGGTAGTTGGGGAATGGGAAGCTCTGAGCACATGTTTGGGGCCCTAGGGCACTGGGAATGGAGGGTGCTGCAGGAGGCCTGATCCCCCCATGTCTGTGTGGCAGGACCGGGCGCTGCCCCTGGCGGTGACTACAGGCAACCAAGAGGCGGAGCTACGGCTGTGCAACAAGCTGGTAGCACTGTTGGCTGCACTGGAGACGCCACAGGAGGGTCTGGAGTTTGCACACACGGCCCTAGCGTTAAGCATCACCCTGGGTAAGCTCCCCAGGCCCCCGCCCCACCAAGGTCCCCACCCCATCAGGCCTCTGCCCTACCAGGGCCGTTGCCTCCAGGTCTGGAGGGCAGGAGCAGAAACAGCTGTCAGGCTTTTCTGGTTTCCTGTCTAGGTGGGTGGAGATCAGCAGCAGATCTGACTAGCTGGTTCCCTGCACTGCTTGCCCCAGGGGCACAGTCCAGGGGTCCATGAACCGCAGAGCTCCCTGTGTGGCGAGGCTGTGCCCAGCTCTTTGGCTTCCTCTTCCCCTTGCTAATCACAAGGGCCACCCAATATGCCTCGATTCTACATACTGCAGGTGTCCCACAGGTCCCCAGCATGCCAGGCTAGGCCACCTGTGCCTCTGTGCAAGATGGTCCCTTCCCCACCCTCAACAACCACTGCCATTCTCTGGCTGAAGAAATCCCAGTCCCCTTTCCAGAATGCACATCGCTCAGTCCTGGGCATTACTTCTGTCCCGGCACCTAACTGTGCTGTACTGGGGTGGTCTGTCTTCCTCCAGAGAGAGGGAGCCCCGATGGGCCGGGCAGCACCTCGTACCCCAAGCTGGCGCACAGGAGGTGAGCAGCAGCACCTGAACGGGTCGAATGGAGAGGTCCCAGGCTCTGCCTGGGAACAGAGAGGATGCTGGAGACCACCTGGGCCAGCTGCCCGTTTGCAGGCCAGAGCAGGGCCTGGGGCTCAGATGTGCAGTGGCTCCCAGGGTTGGGAGGGTGTTCTGCTGCTGATGCACCCAGGAATGCTCAAATGCCACATTTGCAAGTTGGCTGTAGTCTTGGCACTTAAAGTGCACAGGCCGCATGGCTTTTGAAGTCTCCTCATTAAAAACAGTAGCCCTTGCTACTGCAGGTGGCTGCATGCAGGCATAGCAGAGGTGTCCAAACTCATGACTCTGCCAAACCTCAAGGCAGGTGGGAGCAGGCATTATTAGCCCCACTTTACAGGTGGAAAAAGTGAGTCTCAGAGATGGCAGGGGATGGCTGGGGCTGCCCAGTGACAGCCTGAGTGTGCCTTGGCACAAGGCAGGAACTACCTGGTGCCCAGTATATGTTCCCAATGTCCTGTGCCTCACACCTGCTCCTGCCTGTGTCCCTAGGAGACCGGCTGAATGAGCGCGTGGCCTACCACCGGCTGGCCACCCTGCACCACCGGCTGGGCCACGGAGAGCTGGCCGAACACTTCTACCTCAAGGCACTGTCACTCTGCAGCTCACCGCTGGAGTTTGATGAGGAGACTCTGTACTACGTGAAGGTGTACCTGGTGCTTGGGGACATCATCTTCTATGACCTCAAGGTGGCTGGGGAGAGGGTTCCACTTGGAGTGGAATCTGCACCCATACCCCAGAGGCCTGGGTTTGATCCTCCCTTAGCAATGACCAGTGGCCTCCCAGAGGTCAGCAGACAGCATCTGGGCTCCCACCTGGCTGGGCCCCACCCTCAGGACCTCAGGGTCAGTTGGGGGAGGCTGACATGTAAAGAGACAATGGCAGCTGTGGATGAAGAAAAGGGATTATAATCAGGGGGTCCTCCTAGAGTAGGACACAAAGCTAAGTCCTGACAGTCAAGTAGGAGTTAACAAAATGGGAGGTGGGGGGGACATTTGAGGGATCAGCATTATCCCCACCTTGACCCATGTTGCAAGATCCAACCCAAACCCTGGCATCTCCTCCAGGAAGCCGGCCCAGGATACCAGTCTGAGCTGAGCAATTCCTTCCTGGAATCCTGAGACTCTTTCCATCTTCCCATTGCCCAGGCAGGGCGGAGCTGTTTATCACTATCCCACTTGGGCTGCAGGGGGAGTGCCCTCCCAAGTCTGTGCAAGGGATGCCAGCTGGGACTTCTTTTCCATCAGCCTACTGCCCTGCGAGGGGTGGCAAGCTGAACACCTGCAATTGAGGATCCAGGAGTACTGCTCCATGGGTCCCCCAACCCAGGCCAGGGCTCCCTCCCCACCCCCCATCCCAGCAATGTGTCCTTGTTCTGTGTTGGCTGAGGAGCAGGGGGCATCTAGTCCAGGAGCTTAGCTATCAGGGGCTAAACCGGGGCTGCCCCCACCCCTTCCTGGGCTGCCCTGAGGCCTCAGTCAAGTGTTGGTGACACCTGGTGGTCAGAAGTGGTCCTTCTGGCCAGTGGCTAAATCTGGGCCAAATGGTGCCCTTCAGTGCCAGACGTCAAGCTGCCCAGAGACACCCTGCTCACTTGTTTGCCTAGGATCCAGGGCACAGGGCCTTTATCTGTAAGAAAAAGCCTTTATCTCTCTGTGGTTATACCCACCCAGGAGGAAAGGGCCATGGTGCTGGTGAGAGGCTAAAGTCCAGAGGTCAGGTGAGGCTGAGCTCAAGGGGCAGAGAGCTCCTTCCTTCCTCCCCAGGGTAGGTCCCACCCGCAGTCTCACCAAAACCACTGTCATCTCACTGTGTCTTGGGCCCCACTGTCTTTCCAACTTCACACCCTTCTCATGCCCTGAGCGAGTGGACCCTCCTGTGGCCCAGGGGGCCCTGCATAGAGAGGAGTAGGGAAGAGAGAGAGGCAAGATAGGGGCTAGAATAATGCCTGGGAGGTGGGTGCTGTGGGCTAAAGTGGGGCCACCTTCAGGCCACATGTGTACCAGAGTGAACAGAGCAAGGCTTGGTATAGGACAGGTTTGGGGTGAGCCCACCTGGGCCTGCCACTCACTAGCTGCTGCACACATATGCACACACACAACAGCGCACACTTTGGCTGTCTCCTTCCTGTTCAGCTGGAATGCCTCCTCCTCCAGGAAGCCTTCCCATAAGCTCCCTGGTGGAGGCAAGGCCCCCCAAGGCTCCCACAGGCCACCCTGTGTGGTCACTGTTCACTTCCAGGTCCCCAAGACTGGGAGCAGGGATGTAGCAGACTTAGCCATAAGTCCTGGCACAGAGTCCGGTACTTGGTAGGGACCAGGGGAGTTCACTGTCCTGCTGCAGGCTGACTGACTTTCTTTCTCCTTGAGCCCCTGCTCTTATTGGGGGAAAAGGGCTGGTGTATTCAGCTTTTGTCATTTTCCTTAGGGAGCCCTCTTCAAACAGTAAGGAGGGGAGGGTGGGCCAGCTATGGGGATTAGAGAGGTCCCTTAGGAGACTTCAATGTGGAGGCAGGGCCTGGTTGGGTAGGAGGTAAGAGTTGGGGGTGGGCCTTCCCTAACCTGGGGCTGGTAGGTTTGAGGCATAGAAATGAAATGGCAGTGGATGTCCAGGGGAGTCACAAATGGTCCAAGTTTCAGGGAAGATTCCCAGATTTGACACATGTGAGGTGCTTTGCACCAGTGTTGGTCTATGGAAGGGTGGTGTCAGAGTGGGCACAGCCAGAGGGGGCTGTGGCTGGGAGAACTCTGCAGGGAGCACAAGTGGGTCAGACCCAATCTCACCCCAAGGGCAAGCAGACAGTACCTGCAGTGAGGACTGCATGGAGACCAGGTGGCCTCGGATAGAGGGATAGGGAACCTCCAGTGGGATCCAGAATGTGGGGAAGACCCAGGGGCTGGCCAGATGCTGTGATTCCAGGCCCACCTGGAGCTCCGTGGCACCTCCTGGGGACTGCCTGCCTGAAGCGCAGCTGTGGACCACCTAGCAGTGTCCCAGGCTGGTGGGCAAACTGGTGTGGGTGGAGATGAAGTAACCTGGGACAGGAAGAGCCTCTGGGGTCACAGGCTCTGTGCCTCTCATGCCCCCCAGTGGGTGGAGTTAGATACAGAACCCAGGCTGATGCTCTTCTCACCACAGGACCCCTTTGACGCCGCTGGGTACTACCAGCTGGCATTGGCGGCGGCTGTGGACCTGGGCAACAAGAAGGCCCAGCTGAAGATCTACACGCGACTGGCCACCATCTACCACAACTTCCTCCTGGACCGTGAGAAGTCCCTCTTCTTTTACCAGAAGGCGCGGACCTTTGCCTCTGAGCTCAACATCCGCAGGGTCAGCCTGGCTCCCCCGCGGTTCTGTGGGCGCGCCCCCTGGCTGGCACCCAGTCACCCACCCTAAAGATGGTTTCCGGGCAGTGGGATTTGTGCAAGGGGGTCCCTTGACGCCCCTAAAAACTCTGGACACCTCATTTTTTGAGAAATGGAGGCACAAAAGCAGGGGTCAAATAACAATAAATGTTTTTTTCAGTAACTTACTGAAGTCACCAAACATCCTTCCCTGGTCTCCTTCCCAGGGAGCATTAGGGGACCTGGCCTTTTCCCAGGGGCCATCCTACTGCTGTGCCCCGACTGTGGGTATCAGAAGGATGGTGAGTCCAGCAGACCTGGGCAGCCAGGTATTCAGTGTAGCTTTGGGTGAGCCACTTCACCTTGAGCCTCAGTTTTCGTGGCTGTTGGAGAAAGGGTGGTGGGATTCCTGGGGCAGGGTTCTGGAATGGCAGCACCCCTTCCCCCAGCTCTCACTGTGGGTCTGGTACTACCCTTTGCCTCTGGTCCTCAGACCACCCTGTGAGAAGTTGGGACTACTATTGCCACTGTTGGCTGTTGGGGAAATGAAACACAAGAGAAGTTATGTGCCTTGCCCACGGTCACAGAGAAGGTAGGGGGTAAGCCTCAGCACTCCACATGCTGACCACCACACCACTGTGCCAGCCTGCTGCTGGGGAGGGATGTGCCCCCCAGCAGGACTCAGGGCAGCTCCTTTATGTCTCTGCCCCTTGTCCGTGTCAGGAGAAGCTTCAGGCCAGGGAGGGAACCCAGGTGCTCCTGTGGAATGTCCTCTACTCCCAGATGTGGCTGGACCAAGCCTGACCAGTCCCAACTCTAGTTGCTGTTCGGCCTTGTAGGAAGTGAGGTGCAGTCCCCACCTATGTGGATGCTGCTGCAGTGCATTTAAGGGCCTTGTCTGGGTCCCCCAAGCCAACCCTAACCCTAACCTGGATTCCCAGGCTACAGAAGGTCGAAACTGAGGGACTTGGCCTTTAGCCAGCCAACATACCCATGGCCATGTGGCCCTGCCCTGACCTATGCAAGAGGTCAGGCAGCAACCTGGGGCTGGGCCATCACTGCCCAAAGACGGGCCTTAAGCACCTATGGGGGGTCCCCTCCTCCCACAAACTCCGTCCTGTGCATGGGCCTGCATGAGGGTCTGCCCTTGCCTAGACTGGTGCACTCCAGTGCTCTGCTGACCTCCAGCCTGTACCCAGTCTTTTTGGGTGAAGTCCATGGCTATACCCTAAAAAAATCATCCCTGAATCACCATGGATGTTCTGTTCTGGCCAGGGCATTCCATCCCAATGTCTGGAGGAGGGTAGTTGAGACCCCCGGCACTGACAAATTACAAAAGTCAATTACAAATAGGAATTTATTGATAATGTAACTGCGGAAGATGTGTGTGGAAAGCTCAGAGTTTATGGCTGCAGTCAGATTACCGTGATGGCTGACTTGGCACACATGCCTTTCTGTCCCCTCCCAGAGACATGCACACTCAGTGCACATGGCACAGTGTGGAACAACCTGATGAGCTAGAATTCTTACTTCCATGTTGGGGCTTACTGCTGTGGATCTAGAAAATATATAACTCAACTTATCCCCAACTCATCACTAAGCAACAATACTCAGGCTCTGCAATACTTCAGCTGTGACTGTGGGTACAGTAGAGGGCCACACAGTACCTGACCCACAGTGAACCTCAGGCTTCCCATTAAGAAATGCTTTGGCTGAGTGTGGAAAGATACCATGAGCAAAAGTGTAAAGTGCTTCCTACACAGCAAACCCATGCGACATACAGTCATACCCATCATTCCTTAAAATGGCACCTTGAGGCATGGTCCTACATCACACAGGCCTGGACAGATAAAACTTGCTCATCCCTACAAAACTCACAAGTCCATTCTAAGTTCCAAGTCCAGGGGGCTTAGAAGCTCAAGCCAAGGGCCTGAGACTGCTGTTTTGAAGGACAGTTCTGCCTTGACCCTTCTGTCCCAAGGCCTCCCATTCTCAGAGCCCCCAAGCTTCAGTTATCATTTCAGTCCTTTTTAAACGCAGCCTTTCTGCTCAGAGGTAATGGAAGCCTCTTGGTAGTGTCTGGTCTTCTAGTTCTGCAAGAATGGCCGCAGGACCCTAACCGTTACCCTACCTTCTACACTTCTCCTCCAGGTACAGATGAAAGTAAAGAAGACCACCCTTTGTGTGCTGCTTCCAATTGTAAATTTGAAAACAATTTCAATTACAAAGACAAATTACAAAAGTCAATTACAAATGGGAATTTATTGATACTTTTAAACTTTATTATTTTTATTTTTTTTGAGATAGAGTCTCACTCTGTCACCCTAGCTAAAGTGTTGTGGCATCACAGCTCCCAGCAATCTCAAACTCTTGGGTTCAAGTGATCCACTTGTCTCAGCCACCAAGTAGCTGAGACTACAGGGCCACCACAACACCTGGCTAGTTTTTTAGTAGAGACAGGGTCTCACTCTTGCTTGGTCTGAAACTCCTGAGTTCAAGTGATCCATCTGCCTTGGCCTCCCAGAGTACCAGGATTGTAGGCATGAGCCTTATTAATACTTTTAAATAAAAGTAATCAAATTCATGTTCATGTGTTCTATCAACATTTTAATCAATTTAAAATCAGGGAATACGATAAATGATTTCTCATTGCCCCCTTTACCTCCCCTCAGCCTTGCGTGGTCCTCCTTCCCAGCACTCTTGACACTGGTCAGTTGAATCACCTGGTGAAGCATCTGCCTCCCCAGCTGGACTGTGACCTTCTGCTCGTACTCATCTCTCACTCCCTTTAAACCCCGTATCATCTTTGAAAGTCTAATGTGTCCAGGGATTTGCACCCTGGAGATCTACACTGTCTCCAACTACAGCTTACACACACACACACACACACAGTGTCATGTGACCCATACACAACCAGAATTACACTCAGTGGCAGCCTGCCCCCAAATCATTACTAAAAATCATTACAGGGCAGAGAAGCCTGTATGATGAAGACAAGGGCATGGCACACGCCTGGCAAACAACATGAAAAAGTTCTAATTCTGGGCAGCATCTGTGGCTCAAATGAGTAGGATGCCGGCCCCACATATGGGACTTGGTGAGTTCAAACCCAGCCCCGGCCAAAAACTGCAAAAAGAAAAGTTCTAATAATTCTTTCTCCTCATATTCCTTTTTGGGTATTCTGCCCCAAGCTCTCAAATCCAGCTTGGTCCTCTAGTACAGTGTCCCTCCACCCAGGCCCCACTGCTCTATGTTAAACTCCCTCTTCCCTTTCCCACATTTTAAAATCTCACCTCAATTTTACAGAGCAATGTACTGAACTGAAACTGCACAGCCAAACCCATCCTGACTTCGGGAGCAGCCTTCTCCTTAGCTAACGTTACTGCTAATGAGGCTGCGGCTAATGAGCACAATTGAAATCGTATTAGTAATGCCTTTTCTTTTGAATCACACCTCTGATTACTTCCTCCAAGAAACGTTTTATGATTTTTTCCTCCATCTATGTTGTAACTTTTCACCACAATTCCCATTAGTTCCTTTCTAGTTTGGAAAACAATGATGTTGGGCCAGGTGTGGTGGCTCACCGCCTGTAATCTCAGACTCTGGGAGGCCAAGAAGGGTGGATTGCTCGAGCTCAGGAGTTTGAGACCAGTCTGAGCAAGAGCAAGAGCAAGACCTCGTCTCTACTAAAAAGAGAAAACCAGCCCAGCATTTTGGCAGTGCCTGTAGTTGTAGCTACTCAGGAGGCTGAGGTCGAAATCATTTAAGCCCAACAGTTTGAGGTTGCTGTGACCTACGCTGACACCACAGCACTCTAGTCAAGGTGACAGAGTAAGACTCTGTCTCCAAAAAAAAAAAAAAAGAAAGAAAGAAAGAAAGAAAAAGGAAACAATGATGTCTCTTCTTGATGGTGTATGATATGTCTACTAGGGGTTTTCTCTCCCCATGTGGGCCCGTAATGTAGCAGCTGTGACCCTTAAAGCAGCCCTGTTTAGATTACAGACTGCTGAAGAGAAGCCTGGTGTCGTTTCCTTACATTGCTTACCTACACTGCCTCACTGAATCTGATGAGTCCTCTTTGGCCCCAGACACTGATCCTTTCCTGCCCCTTCCACTCGGGGAGGGTTTACCGGTGATGACAGCTCCTTCCCTTGGTGTCTACTCTGGCACCCGCAGTTTCCATATTGTCTCTACCCCAAAAGTCTGCCCCTCTCCTCTCTTCCCTTAACTGCAAAAGGTCTCTCTGCTCAGAAAAATCTCTCCGTTATAGCCTTGCATCTCTGGTATTATTTTTTCATATATTTGTTTGTTTGTAACAAGTCTGGTCCTTACAGTCTCTGAAGTCCCTAGGACTTCAAACCAAAACATCTTTTGAGGTCTAAGCAAAATGAGCTACACCAAAAAATTTCCAGGTGAGAAGTTATACAAATGCCACATTGAAAATATATTCTTGGCTCGGCGCCTATAGCTCAACCAGCTAAGGCGCCAGCCACGTACACCTAAGGTGGCGGGTTCGAATCCCCAGCCCGGACCCGCCAAAA